GCTGGTCAAATAAGTCATCAATTCTGGGAAGCGGATATTTGTTCTTGATAGTTAACCGGTTGAGATCCTGGTAATTGATACACATGCGCATAGAACCATCCTTCTTCTTGACGAAAAGAACGGGTGCTACCCATGGTGAAACACTCAGCCGAATAAAACTGAGTTTCAATAATTCCTGAATTTGAGTCTTAAGCTCTTGCAATTCTTTCGGCACCATTAGATATGGTGCTTTGGATACTGGGCCGGCTCCTGGAATAAGATCAATAGAGAACTCTACCTGCCGGTTAGGTGGTCCTCATGGATGTTGGTCCGGAAACACATCCACAAATTCACGAACAATAGGAACATCGTGAGGTGTCCGTGCTTTCGGTTCATCGCTGACGAGGCTCACAAGATAACCTCGGAAATCACCTCGTCGTAACATCTTTTTGGCTTTCGCCATAGAAATAACATGCTGTAAAGAACGAGTCTTAGTGCCAAAGAATGTAATAGAATCGTCTCCCAGAAGAAAAAAAGTAATCTTTCGGTCATGGCATCGAATATCTGCATAAAAATATGTTATCCAATCCATACCGAGAATGAGGTCAAAGTCCCTCATCTCGAGAACATAAGCGTCGGTAGTCAAGATATGACCACCGATAGAAAGGCTGAGATCTGTAGCTCTAGCATCAGTCACTATCTTTCGTCCCGAAGCTAAACTCACCTCGAGAGGATCAACAGTGGTAATAGAATGTACTCCGATGGCATCAAGACATCGTCTTGATATGAAAGAGTGAGTTGCTCCACTATCAAATAAGGCGAAAATAGGAACATCGTTTAGCATAATCATCCCAGACATAATACTTGGGTGTTGTTCCGCCTTGACCTGATCTACCGCATAAACACGAGTCTGCTGTCTGCCCTCCTACTGCTGCAGGGATGGCCTCGGGGCTTGTTGTCTAGGCTGCTGCTGCTGTTGTTGTGGCTGCTGTGGTTGCTGTCTGTTGGAACCCACGAGGATCTCGATATGCACAAATCACAGACAAACATTCAACACAAACCTATGCGCAGCGGATCTAAAGGTTTGACGAAGAAAACTTACTGCTTAAAATTTATATAGATCTGGCTGGCCTGGACAGTTGACCGCAAATCAAATCTTCTCGGAATCGAACA